TAGCGCTTGTGATTTGCGTAGCGCTGGGGGGCACTATGGGCGAATGCGAATAGTGGCGGGGCACGGCTAATTCGAACCGTGGTGAGTTGAATAGTACTAAATTACATGCTTGCTCGATAGTACATACTACTTTGACCCAGAAGGTACATACCTGTACGTAGTACTACTACTCGGTCAAACTAATGGCTTGCACAGCCGCTTCTAGGCTACGTGGCGCACCGCCATACAGCTCGGATGCAAGAGGTTGGACTCACCATAATCTCCATCTTCGTCCTGCCATTCCTACAATCTGTAATCCGCCAGTCTCGACCAGGACATGCACCTGCTGTTGATGCCACTTCCCGCTCTGGCACATATGAACCTCCTCACCACATAAAATCTTGAGATATTTCCCGTCGATCAGCAGATCGAGGCTTGTCTTAGCGACAACGTTCTGCAGCGACAGGCCGGAAGGTTCATCAAAGTGAGTGTTCAGACCCAAATGATCCTCAAAGAAGACATTCTGGCCTAGCACCTGATTTGTATGATGAAGAGCGTGGAACAGGAACTTATGATGGACCGAGCTGTGTGTTCCGTAGGCTTCGAGAACTCGCTTCGAATCGCGACAACCATCAATAGTGACTAGCGCTCGCCCCTGGTGGCATATTCGGCTTGGGTGTTCATGATTGCTTGCAGGCGGTTTGGAGAGAAACGCCACAGAGCTCGCCGGTGAGGCATTGGCGAAACTATTACGGAGCACCAAACCATAGATACGTAGCCTCCGAGGCTTGCAAATAGGAGAGAGGCCCATCAAGCGCCTGCATCTGGTCATTGTAGGTGCCGAACAGGCTAATGAGTTATTCATGATGCAAAGGAAATTTGCTAGTAAGTCTGGTGAGGTTTCGTTCTAGCTCTCCGCAGCGCCAGCAATTCGAGGGTAGCGCCAGGGATTTGTAAGGGTTTCGCAACGGGCAATAATAGAGCAGCACAGCGGTGACAGCCTAGGTAGATATTGCTTGAAATACTCTTTAGATTGTAAGACAGAATCTGAGGAGTGCAACAATACCAGGTTAAAGAAGAAAAAGAAAAAATACAAATAGGCCATCCGAATCGAAACCTAACGATAAAATCTATTAGCGTCTCTCTCTGGTAGCTCTGATCGCAATATCCACCACATCAACTTAGAATGTTGAATAACTTGAAAGATCTAGTCTTAAGTTATCTCTAATAAGAGTAGTAAATCTCAACCAACAAGCAATAAGAATGTCTAAGGATTGCCCAAAAAAAATCAAACAAAAAACTGTTGCTTCTCTTTGATATTGCGTGTCATCCTTAGTGCAGGGGCCATGCTAACTATAACGGTTATCAGCGCACAATCTTAAATCGGGAATGGTAATACTGACTCTTCTCTGTATCGTTTCAAATTGACCAAATGCCCGAAGGCGATTATTTGTACATTATTATAAAATATAAACGTTGTTTTCCCTAGACTGCAAACGGCCCCTAAGCTAGACGACTTTAATAAGATGATCAGGGAGCCTTTGCCGCTTGAAGCTTTGCTTCATAGAGTAGTTACAACAGAAGTCAAGGTTGCGCGAACAATATATGCTGCAGCATAAAGATAGATCAACACAAGCGATGATAGCTGGTGATAGCGTAACGGTCTTCATGGACATTTCGACGATTCCGGAGTGGGTACTTTTGCGAGACCATTCTCATGGCTTGTTAAATGCACATGACTTTTGATATGTTTTGCTGCAATATTATATGATTCGATATCTGTAATGTTTCTGTTCATGCAAGCTGGAAAGCAATACGTCTAATGTGAAGTCTTCTTTCCCAGTCCTCAACACCATAAGTCGAGGGAGTAGATCATCTCTACCTACGATATTGAACAGCAACACATTCATCCTCATCCGCTATATCACCAGCGGAATCAACACTAGTCAGCCCTCAGCTCTAACGAACTCGACAGCATCCCCCATTTTATTCAGCTTCTCCTATGATCTTTCCAACCCATCTATACCATCGTCTAACAATACAAACAGCGCCTTTGACCGTCCTACCTTCTCGTCCCGCCGCGGCATCGACCTCATCACGATCCACCTCGCCAGCCGCACCAGCAAGCTAGCAATGAGCGAGGAATGAGCGCAGTGATCGGCGCGGTGGCATCAACAGCCCAGAAGACCGTAAAGGCCGCTGCACAACAATTGTCAGATATCGGGAATGGTGTCGAGAATAGGGAGCGGCGGAGACTACGGCAAGAGAGACGCGCGCAGCAGAATCTAAAGTTGAAGGCGCAGACAAAGACGGAAGTAAGTAGCGAGTCGAATCCGCAAGTGAGCAGCAAAGCTACAGCCGATGCCAGTCCGGGGATAGAATACTGATGATGAATCTTATAGATACTCTATACAGTGGTCCCCAATACGGCGCGCGATGCGAGAGGTATTACTGGATGTTCTCTACGAAGAAGAAAGAAGAACCCCACAATGTGATACGCTATCTTATAAAGCACCGGTTCAGCACAATGCCCCAATACTTTAATCTATTTGAAGCGCATGGAATACTAGCGGCCATCACTCTCCTTTTCATCGTCCCCTTCGCCGTTGTCTTTCCTCGCTTCTACACGCGTGATACTCGATCAGCCGTTCGGTCAATATCTGGTGCCAGATATTGCCAGATATTAACCGACTTGGCAAGCACAGCAGTTCTCCGCATCACGGCATCTGCTGGTCCTGTTGCAATCCATCCTAAGGTGGTGGACATATAGCAGAGAGAGGAGGTGGAAGCTGATGCATGATCCATCAAAGGCAGTCATTCGTCGCTGCCTCGGCCGCTTACCTGGATTGTGGCTTTGGCACAGGTTCCGCTTGGTCTCACTCTCCACGGCTCGCCCGTCTGGTTGTTTCTTCTATAACGCCATTGTGGTCGCTGCCTTGGTGCTGCTCTACTTCACTTTATCGTATATTGATAAACGCAATCGAGGACGAGAGTACAATAGAGACCACAGTTGGGCATCAGGGGCCCGTGCAGTACTTACTTGCAAGGCAGCATGCTGAGACTTTTCCCTCGGGATCAATCAGGTGAATGTCCGAACCAACCCGTCCAATCGTCCCACTTCCACAACCATAAGTAATCCATCCGTCTCGAGATCCTATCACGCTCTTAATCTCATGTTTCTGTTGGCCCCTCTCCTTCGCACCGTCTTATCTCGATCACTTCTTTCTCATCATATAGCTTGGGTCTTCGAAATTCTGGATCGTCTAAAGAGAATTCCCAAGGGTCTGACCTCCTTTGGGGAGGGCGATAATCTCATAAAGATAACGCTGACACTTGGGTTTTTGAGCGTAAGAGCGGAGCCAGGAGACATGCCGCCTCGCTGTGGCCTTTCCTGTTTCATGGCCCTCCTGGCAGAATCGCAGTTGAAACGAGCTTAGGTGAGTGATCTGAGTGTCGCGGCTGAGCCAAAAGAACACTAACCTTTTGCTTTAGCATAGTCAATAACTTTTATGTAACCTGAGCTTGAAGGCTAGCAAGCCCCAGGTAGGTTCAAGTCCGCGCATATGAATAGAATCGACGCCACTGCGCCTTGAAGCTCGTCACGGCTTTAGTGATGACGGATGGGAGGGCTTATTAGCTTTACTGATGCGACTTTGCCGGACTTCCTTCGGCTACTGATCCCTTTCACCACCCAGAGTCAAGCCCTAAAGGTGATAGGTTATTCTTGGTGATAGATAATAGGAGGAATACAGGGACAATCAGAGAGGGTTGTTTGGAATTGTGTTACTAAGCGACACAAAGATATCAACAGTATTAACATTTTCTTAAGAAGTGAGTATTACTGGGACACAAAGAAGATAAATCATTTGGTCTTAGGCTGCGGTATTACTACGTAATGCAGAGAGGTCTTTAGTTTCATTCTGACCCACTATTCATAATTTAGCCACAACTTTCCTTTCGGCTCCGCGGTACTTGTATTCGAGCAAGGGGGGGACGCCAAGAAATCCACTCCAGCCCCAAGGTCCACGACGCCTTGGGTGACTCTGTACGCAGATCCCGTCGACCTTCAGCGCCGTCAATGCAGAGGATTTGTTCTAAAACTTTGGGGGAAATAGGATCAAGATTGCTTCTGACGATCGATTGGGATATCTGTTGGGAGTAGCATCACGACATCCCGCTACGATCGAACATATTCTCTTTTGGTGAGCTGTGGATGGTGAGATTGTGCCTAGAATAATGCGATGCGAGGTGACGGAAGTGGGTTATCGCCCCAGGTCCAGACCACGACTCCACGAGGCCATCCACCATGTAAAAATATCCAGGGCGTCAGCTTCGAGTGTAGTAAATGTAGTAGGAAGGGCGGCTATCTCCAATAATACTACTACGTAGGGACGTAACCAAGTGGCCCTGTCTCTTCTAGCTGTGTCACCGAGTGCAAGAAGAAACGAGTTCGGTGCTTCAGATTCTCCCGAACGCGACCCCACGTGAGATCTGCCGCAGCATACCTTTTGCCTACCTAAGCAGGAAAGCATCCTCCATTTCACTACGATCAGCAGTAATAGGGTCATGTCGTCGTAGCTGTGCGACCAGGGTCTCAGCCTATCTGAGATATTGTCCAAAATGATCAAAAGAGTAGTGGTGGCTTCCGGGTCAGTGCCTATGTTCGCCTTTAGACTTGCTCTAGAGACCCTGCCGTATTTGTCAACAACACAATTTTCTCCTGCGGTCTTCACGGTGGACACCATGGGACAGGATGCAAGGTGGGATTCCTTGCAGCATCATTGCCTTTCTTCCCGCCTAACCTTCTATCTCAATTGATCGCTATCAGATGCGTTCAACTGCGTTACCTTATTGCCCTCTCCCTATGTTGATTTTAACAACGGTATGGACGCCGATTCGCAACGACAATTTCATGCTCATGCGTTCACTGGTTTCGAAAGACCGCCTGAGACAGCCCAACGAGTCGATGACCCTCAGTTCGATATCTTCGATTGGTACCCCAAGTATCAAAGCTGTCAACGTTATTTTCTCGATCATGCTCAGCACAGCGTCCCCGTACAAGCTTTAGCGGCCTTCGTCAATATTCTGCTACCTTTTCAGCGACCCCAATATCCAGCTGTACGTACTGTGCGGTCCGAAAGCACAGCCTCCTCTTCTCGAAGCCCAGGTACGATCAGAACTGCTCAAACCCCAACAAACATGACACCAGCATCATTTACATCGCTCATACCGTTCATCAGAAGATTGGTAGTAACGGGCATGGATTTTCCAGGGGTGCTTCATGGTTTCTTCGGGGATGATTGGCCGGTGGGTGTCGGGCCCCTGCATGAACAAGAGCGGAGAAATTATCTTTTTGCGGCAAAAAGTGGTGGGTGGGCGTCTGTAAAGAGGGACTACGATATGCTTCCAATGGAGACTGTACCTTTCTTGCGACCTTTACAAAGGCCTCTGGATGCAGAGATTGAAGGGGCCGAAAGGGCTTGGAGCCAGTGGCTTGCTATGGAGGACTGGATGGTTGGCTCAAGAGCACCAGAGACCATGAACAACACTAACCATGCTGGAAATGCGGATGGAGTAGAAGATTGATTTGTTATACGCGGACATCTTCACTAAAAGACAAAGTCGATTTGGTATCAGAGATTCTATGGCCTCAAATCGACATGCTTCTTGTTGTGTCAACGGTTTACCCTTGTTGCGTGCTATCTCGAAACTGCTGGAGGAGATAACTCAGTATCCAGTAAGTATGGTGCCGTACGAAAATCTTTCATGTCAAGAATCTCTAGCTTTCTCTTTTGGGTCTGTCTCTCGGCATGCAAGCTCTCAGACAAGCTATCTGCCAATCAACAGTACAAGCGCAACTCGAAAGCTGGCGTACCATGTGGCCGCAGACAGCCGAGTGTCCTTCAGGAATTTAGATGATCAACCGGTGCTCATACCGAAGGTAATATATCATTTAAAGCGTTCACTGAGCCATCGGCGAACGCAGAAGCGTTGATATTACGAGTGAAGGAAGTGTCTCTTTGTAGCTGTGAAAAGCCTGCGACTCAAGTCATTGGTTGTAAGGCTGGTGGCTGCTTGGAACCATACGATTCAATTAAGCCCTGGAGAGGCCCATATATTGCCAAGGTCTTGGCGTCACAGCACTCAATTCATCCACATTCACTTATGGCGGGATTCTACTCAATCCACTAAAGTTAAAGAGAAGTACAAGCAGACGTGTAAGTGAACAATATTAGCAAACATGGACACATGAGTTATACAAAGATGAAACCGTTCTCGCACCAGCCTTTGATTAAGCAAGAGAATCTCAGGCTTCAAACATTTTCTCCGCCTGTCTTCTGCAACCTGGGAAACAAGCACAAAGCAATCTCGGTTGGTCGCTTGTGCAAACATGATATAGCTGGCACAACCTCAAATATACTCCCGTAACTTTCCCACCATGTCAAGGTCCAAGTGGGAACAGTTCATCCGACGATGTCTCCTTCACCGGACCCATGGAGACGAGTTCAGAGAGCTCGCAGAATTCATGAATGAGAAGTACCAGATCTCTGGCAGGCTACTGATCCAAATCATCGTGAATTGTCGACAAGCCTTCTCCATCTCCTCAGACCCACTCATTCCCCAATATATTCGGGCTGGTATTACGTGTGGTCTGTCCAAGACTTCTGATGTGCTCTATGTGCTTATCCAGAACTGGAACAGCGTCTCACCAGAGCAAGGGCTGTCTGCGGAGTCGAAGCAGCCTGGGTGTCTGTCTTCACCCGACGCTATCATCATCAACGACCTGGCACTGATCGTTGCCTCAAATGCAACGTCTCACAATTCCTCCGAAATCCGCAGAAGTCTGTCATTCACCTCAAGATGGCTTCTAGCGCTGATCGAATGGATTTCTGGTGACGGAGAGAACAGGTCATATCTTGCAATTCTGACCCTGCTGGAAGCTCTGGGAATCCTTTTCGCATCAATAGCCTCTACCGAACAAGGCATATTGCTGCTGGGCAGCCAAGATGATCCAGGTACGCTCCACACAGAACAGAGGTGATCATTGGTAGCGGTGAAGCTCATGCATCTCTCCGATAGATCTCAGGCAGCTGGTTGTAGAGGCTTTGGACACAGTGTTACCGCTTCTGACTAGTATATCAATACAACTTCATTCTCGTCTCGACATGATCCAAAAGCATTTCCACCTTTTCCGAACCGGATTTCCGAAAGAAGTGACGCAGCCGATGCAAAATGTGCAACAAACGCCTGAAACCCTACAGTTCGAGGCGAATACTGTAGATGACTCGAACGTTCATGCTCGAGCAAGTCTATACATATACTTGAATGGAGCCGTGAGTGCTTTCACTCTTGTCACGAACCATAAGCTAACTTACTCTATAGCTTTGTGGACGACCTATGCTAGATGATTCCTCCTTGATAAGCTATCTGAATGTGCGATTTGCAGTAAGTATTGCTACCCTGACATGTAACGTAAATGACTGAGTACATGCAGGGAGATCATGTTTCAATGTTCATCGATATAATTGTCGCCGCATTCGACGTGCTCTCGAATGGGCAGGCTAGATCTGAAGGGGAGCAGGCCATAAACCTCTACCGGTCATTCCTAGCGAACAGACTTCCACCCATACTCTGTTTGATCTCGACTTCTTCATTGGAGCCCGTTCCGGTAAGTCTGTGCATATCTCAAGCCCTTGGTCGTATAGACCTTGGTGCGTTTCCTCTCTCGGCTTACGATATGGGTGGACGTTCGTCTTTTGCGGGAGTTCGTCAGGAGTTTCTATTTGCATGCGCCCTCCATCGTTTAATACCGGAGGCGGGCGTCGAAGATCTCCTGGGAGAGAAACCTATGCAGAGTCTTCCATCTCATGGTCTCTACGAGAAGGATCAGCTTGTCCAGCAGATCAGTGCCAACGCTCAAAGAGCAGAACAGCTGATAAAGGAGATTGAGCTGATGGAAGGCAATGCTGGCGCAATCGTCGCAGCCATCATTGAAGTAAGCCTTGTTTTCAACAATATCCCTTATGAAATTTCAGCAATTGACTCGTGACGAAGCTCATGCATTCCCATTGTCGAAACAGAGAGACCGTACCACTTAAGGATTTGTGCAACCTGATAGTGCGGAAGCCTCCAGTAATTGACGTGATGACTCTGTTTAGAAGTCCAGGTCACATACTTAGCCCGTTGTGCTCGCTCTTGGATAACTGGAACTGGGACGAGCTTCATGGTGAGTGCTCCCATGGGTTGTAGCCAACCATGCGTCTCAATAATGCGTTAGGAGAAAGTCAACCTGTTTACGAGGAGTTTGGAGCTATTTTGCTCCTCGTTCTTACAGCCACGAGTCGATACGAACTTACATGCTCGGAAATTGGCGCTACTAGCTCATCATCATTCATTAGACAGCTTTTTCAGTTGGAAGCGAACGAGCAGTCTCTCGATGATCTTGACGAACCAAAGAGGAAGCACCTTGGAAACTGGATTGCAGCGTTATTCGTGGCTGACTCTCTCAGCGATGAGCTTACTTCCTCTTGCAGTCCACACGATTTCTATAAACTTGTGCCAACTCTATTGCACCAGAGCTTAGAAGCTTGTGCGAGCGGAAAACTGAACATTGAAACTCTGAAATCCGGGTTCGATTGTAAGTCTGGTGTTCAAACCGGTTTGCATCATAATAGTAACTGAGCCTTGCAGATTTACTGGAACCTTTCCTCCTCCCGTCGCTCGTCGTAAGCTTGCAGTGGCTTGCTAGTCATCTGTGGCAGACGACCTCTGGAACCAAGGTCACATTACCACTTATTTCGTCATTAATCAAACCGCCGTCGTCAAGCGAGGCACGAGAGATACATAAGACAGTCCTATCGATGGTAGCTGACCCTCTACACCTTCAGCTGCAGGCAATTGCAGATAATAACCCTCAGAAGCGGGTTGCTTTAGCCATCGCGGAAGCTCTTAATCCATACCTAACGCATAAATGGAGGGTCAACTGGAAGTCCGAAGATTTACAACCATTGACTGCCTCGCCTGGAGGTCTTCTCATATCTATCTGCCGAATGTTTCACCAACTTCTGGACTGGAGCACGTCCCTCGAAGTTAATGCCAGCCCACCAAAGTTTACTTTCAAACATGTCTCTGCGGCATTACACTTGCATGGAGCGCCCAAGGTGCTTCTGGTCTATTTGAAAGAGACCAAGTCGCTGGTTGGAACAGAGAAACTCGAAGCCGGCCTTGACATGCTCACTTCCATCATCTGTGCGCCATTTGCAGATACTTATGCATCCACACACTGTCTTTCGTTTCGTGACGCCCTAAAAATCCAACATGCGAATTTGGTGAAGACTCTCAAAGCGGGCGATACGCTATTTGCGGAACTAGTTGTCCGGCTTCATCGCAAGGTAGAAGCTTTCTCAGCAACAGCTCCCCAGCAAGAAATGGCCATTGATCCTACAAATGCGATTAGTCAGGAAATATCGAACATAGATTTGCAGAACATCAATCTAGAAGCAGCAGCAGAAAATGCTGAAATAGATGTTGGCGCTCTGGGGGTGCAGCCGACCTCGGATGACATCGATCAGATACTGGAAGGTGCTGCGGGCATGGAGAATTTTGGAACAAACACTATGGGCTCTGGAACAGACGACGTGTTTGGTTTGGAAGGAGGCGATATGCAGATGATGAATTTTGATGATATGGATCTGGAGGGGATGTTTTGAAACCCCGGAACTACATTTTGCTGGAGATACCCATGATATTGCTCTTAGCCGAAAAATCCTGATAGAATAAAATTTGGCAACAATTCCTGACATATGAAAACTGCCTTGGAATGGGTCAAGAATCGTGGGAATTGTGACACTGAGCCCATCCATATCCGGATCAGCTATGAACCGGAGGGTCAACATTACGTGACAATGTTCTCCTGATTGTGGCATCTTGTTTGTGCAACAAATATGCTCTAATTGCCAATAACTGTTGAGTCTACCTTCCAACGACCTAATTAATAACTTGGAAAGTGGTCTGGTTCGAAAGCTCGATGTTGCTCTCCTACTATTCTTTGCTCTATCATGGGAAGGGACGTCCACCTTGACCGAGTGATGTGCCAACGGCTAACCTAAACGTCCTCTCCTATTGACCAAACCCATAGGTCCTGAATACGCGAGCTCATGGCAACGACAGGCTCTCCCATCAGGCTCTTACCGGTCGAAGCACAATTGCAGCTCAAATCTTCCGTTGCCCTGAATTCGTTGAACGATGTGGTAGTCGGCCTCATCAAGAATGCGTTGGATGCTCAAGCACAAAAGATATACATCGGTTTGGACTACTTGAGAGGAAACTGTTGCGTGGAAGATGATGGAGTGGGCATTCCTGCCGCAGAATTTGAGGCTGGAGGAGGGTTGGGATTGATGCACTGTGAGGAGAACCCCGTCCCAGAGAAGATATAATTGCTGATAGTACAGAGACACTTCTAAGTTCACGGACATTAAGGAGATCCATGGCCATTGTGGACGATTTCTAGCTTCCCTGTCTGCCTCCTCCCTTCTCCATATATCGTCACGCCAAATCGCCGAGGAGAGCGAAAGTACTCTTGTGTATCACCACTCGCGACTTCTTACCAGGCAATGCAATGTTGCCGAGAAAGAGCAGAAAGTTGGGGGAAGGCATGGAACAAGGGTGATCGTACGAGATTTGTTTGGCAACCTTGCGGTACGAATGAAACAGAGAGCTCTACATTTTGGCAACACCGAGAATAATGAGAGAGAGCTGGAACGCCTCAAGTTGCGAATCACTGCAGTTGCTCTGGCCTGGCCACAGAATGTGAGGGTAGTCGTATCAGACCAGCAGGCCCAGGAGACACGCAAATTTGCGCTTGGTGGTAGAGGCAAAGCTGGAGGGCATGACCACAAAGAAGTCTCCTCTCGGAGGACATCGACTTTCCGGCTGGACCAAATCTGTACAATTCTGTCTCGCGCTGGCTACATAACGCCCACTGACTTTGATTCGTGGACCACCGTGTCAGCTCGGACCTCGCAATTATGCGTTCGAGCAGCCATTTGTCTTCAGCCTGCTCCATCCAAGCATGTGCAGTTTATATCCCTGGGCATTCATCCTCTTGACTATTCAAGCACGCTTTGCCACGTCCTCTATGTCGAAGTCAATTCCTTGTTTGCCGAATCGGCTTTCGGAGCTGTTGAAGATGATTTTGATGTACCAGAAGAGGAACGCCTTCGAAGGCTTAAAGATCGACGTTTCAAAAACGATGGCCCTACAGACAGACAGCTTAAAGGGAAGGGAAAGGGAGCGGACCGATGGCCAATGTTCTATATCAGGATCGACCCACAAGACAGCAACCTGCCTGTGGGAGTTCTGAGGTCTGATGAGGACGACAAGCAGGCAGCACGGTTTTTCGAGAAGACGGTACAATTAATCGTATCGATGATCCATCGATTCTTACAAGAACGCCATTTTCAACCAAGAACAAGGAGGCGGCGGGGTGGCGTCCGGGCTATCTTATCAAGATCTAATACTACCAGCCAGGGTTCGAATGGGCCAGCGGATAGTCGATGTGCTGGACTGTCTGCGAAAGGTAATTCTCAGATGGCTGTCGACCACACTACGGAATTGGGTTCCAACCCAGCGATTTTAGACCCCAGTGAAAGGCAAAAAACCCCACAAAAATTTCCTTCAGCGACTGCATTCTGTTCGTGGTCCAGAATCAAGAGTGGAAATCCGCATGCCGTGGAAGGTCTGCTCTCTGGTCTACCTCGGAGCGCGCTATCTGTTTTCTTGCCGCGCAATAGTAGTGAGCCAAATCGTTGTAGCAAAGTTCCGACTTCGTGTGCTAAGAAGGACTTGCAACATGATAATCTGATAGTAGAGCACCTGGATGAAGATATTCAGTTATTGCTTCGAGACCTCACTGAGAGCCCTGACACGGAAACTGGCAATCACAGAGGTGTTATGGATGAGAGGCCTTTGAGCGCACCACAACCGATGACCGCAGAGGACCACAAAAACAGCTTTACACTAGAAGGACATGACTCGGATGATGGCATTATCGTTTGGAAAAATCTAGTATCTGGGGAATGCATTCGGATCAATTCACGGACAGGTCTGTCCCTACCAACTTTGCCTTTTTGCTCTACAAAAGAGTCTCAAGCATCTGCCTCCGCGCAAACTGCGGGAAATGGACTTCAAAAACGAGGCATTTTGAGACAGCGGGGCATTGACTCTCACGAGTTTGACGTGGGCGAGAAGCCTTGGTCTGAACCAAACAATTGGTTGTCCAGTGTCATAGCCGGTTGGCAGAATCCTGTCTTCCGTTTGGGAGAGCGTCCTATACCTTCAACGATTATCGAGAATGAGAAGTTGGCATCCGTCCAGGCCGGCAAATGTTGCCATAGCAAGTACCGGCATTGCACAGACTCGGATGCTGTTGGCTGCGACAATCGCCTGAGCAAAGCTGGATTAGCAGGAGCAAGGGTTCTGGGGCAAGTCGACATGAAGTTCATCCTTGCGATCATAAGAGCATCGAGGTCTGAAAAGGTGTCCGAAGCGTGCTCAGATATTGACAACAATGCTTTGGTGCTAATTGATCAGCATGCTGCTGACGAAAGATGCCGCGTCGAGGAACTGTACGCTGATATTTCTACAGGTACAGGCAAGATGGCGGTATTGACAAAGCCTATAATTTTCGAAGTTACAGCTCGCGATTCACAGCTCTTTTGCCGAGAACAGACATATTTTGAGACTTGGGGAATCAGCTATGAGGTTGGTAACGGTGATAACTGCAAAGGGAAGAACACCCAGGCTGTCAGACCAGCATCAGCTCGTCCACATTCAAAGAAAATACAAGCCGACAAGTCTCATAAGTGGCCAGCATCCGCAGTCACACCTGCTACTTCTGCTGGCATACCTGCCCGAAGAGTTGCAACAAATCCCGGCCTACAGGTCACCGTACACGCCCTTCCTGAGCCAATCGCAGAGAGATGCCGTCTTGATCCAAAGCTGCTCATCAACATTTTACGCTCAGAGGCCTGGGCACGAACAGATAATCACACTCGCCCCTACGAACTCCGTCCAGCGACACCAATTTCCGTTACACAAGCTGATGACAAAGAAATTTCACCCTTACCCTGGCTCACGCGCATCTCGTCCTGTCCTCGCAGAATCATTGACCTCCTCAACTCCCGCGCCTGCCGAAGCGCGATCATGTTTAATGACAAGCTGACACAGCCGGAATGTGAGGAACTGGTGAAAAGGCTGGCGCAATGTGCGTTCCCGTTTCAGTGCGCACATGGGAGGCCTAGTATGGTTGTGCTCGGAAAACTTCAAGAAAATGATTTTCCAATATCAGGATGTAGGCCAATGAAGGACTACCCTCCGGAGAGGATTATGGATGATGAAGGGAAAGAAAAGAAGGACTTTCTGGAAGCTTTTACGACGTGGCAGAGCCGTACTCGGGGCGCCGCTTGAGTGTGTACCCCCTAAGTTCGCTTTCGACGGATCATTAGGTCGAGGCCGCGATATCTCACAAGTCTTGTCAAGTGCGGAGGAAGGGACAAGAGTAGGGTCTCTATTCAGATACTAGCAGGCTTAGAAGACTTAGGATCTAATGCATTGGGTTACACGACGCAAGCTCTTACGGAAACTCTCGGTTAGCAAGACGAGAAGCCTGCCTTGAACCCAGAGCATTACTCTCAGCATTCAAGTTTAAGGACTGAGACTTGTGTAAACCTACAGATTTTGGGCCTTGTTCGACGGGACACTCCCTATCTTATCTTCTCTCATCGTGATAGTTGAGCTGCTCGGAACGTCACTGAGCAATCACGATCAGATCTCGGACCGCCAGAGAGCAAGGTATGATGTTCCGAATCTGACAGGCGGTGTGTTAATATCCGGTGAAGCATCCTTGAGCATCGCTATAGCCGCCTACCAAACGAGTCGACCGTTTCTATTGGGAAGATTGTATCACCGACGTAAGTAAATATGTTGGATCCTAAAGCTCCGTCGGTTGCCAGCACCTTAGTAGAGTCTGCATCAACGAGAGAAGCTTTTCCTAGGCGAACCGGGGATGAAATCCGCTCATCAAAACGACTTCGATCACTAATCTCTCTCACTTCGTACTTGCCCCCAATGGCTATCCGAAATGCCCACGGACTTTTATAGCACGCGTCCATACGCATCTCCAAAACCAATCTCACTACCTCCTCTTACATCAAGCTCTGTTTAGATCCCACTATTGGTTAGTCCCGGAGAGCTCGAGTCTCCCGCCCAGGCTAAATTCCCGGTGGCTGGGGCTCACGAGGATTCAAGATGCGAACAGGAGTGGGGTGCGGGACTCATATCTGAGGAAGTTTGCTTGCTGAAGCAACAAGGGTAAAGACGAAGTTGTGATTCGGCAGTCCGCCTGACCTGTACTTCTAGAATAGCAGGGAAAAGGGAAAAATCGGGTGAGGATTTCATGCTGGAGTACCTCTTGAGATTGGTTTTAAGTAGATGTGATAAGATTTTCAAAGAGAATCATCAATGTTCCGAGAATGTTGTAACACAGTCCTCTCTGCTCTCACCTTGGTAAGACACCTAGAATGCTTTTTGGAAGAAATTTCTCACAGCTCTATAATATAATCCCATGCCAAAGTCTTCTGGGAGTGCAACTCAACAAGCTTGATAAAAAATTCCAGGAAAACAGACCAAAAGCCTAAGATACAATGCCAAAGTCCTCCGGAAATACATATCACACAGAATTTAACAAAGGGGTCAGAAATCCAAAATACATCAATGAGGTTCTCCTGGATCAAATCAGATGTGAAGTAATCTAACTTGAAAAAAAAGTGTGGTGATTTCTGCTGACGTTCTCCCAAGCACATTTCCGCATACAAAAAGACAAAGGTCACCAAAGTTTCAAAAAGCAGAGGAGATACTACTGGAGCACTCCTCAAGCGTATTTTAGCACGTAGAATTGCAGAATTTCAAAACCTGGCCTGTTCTATTGGCGTGCACGCTTGAAGCATA